TTTAAGAAAATGTACTGATGGGATTGATAGATCACATTTAGTTCTTGTGCTTTATGGCCTGTTACTTGGGAGTTGTCCTGCCTATCACATGTATGTTACCTGTGCAATGGTAAGTTTAACTCATTTCATAAGATGCTTCTGTGCTTCCTTTGTGAAGAACCCTCCATGTCAACTCATTCACTTTGTGAAGCTTTTGTTACCTATCCTGTCCTTCTGTAGACTCAAAGCTGTGTTGCTATGCACGTGTTCCTGTGTTACAGGTGCAGGCAGTATCACGAGCCCTCAAACCTTTTTGTGAGTTTATACATACACTAACAAGTCAGATTTGCATCTGCAGAAGCCACTGAGAGAAGTGGTCTTTGTGGGCACAGGAGGGCTTTTGGTCGTTTATTATTTTAGCCTAGACATGGAAACAGATGTGAATGCTGCTCAGCAGCCTGTGTGTATATGGAAATTGTGACTGGATACATCTGAATCACAGAAAAGCTGTCTTAACAGGATGCTACCCCATATAGTGTTACAGCTTTATATTCTCAAAAATATTTCACAGTGCATGAATTCACATATATTAACTAATCATAAATAACTCTGTGTTACATATGCCCAGAATAATGTGCAAAAAGCCTGTCTGTGGACTTATTTTTTCCCTTTTTTTCTATAAACTTCTCACCAGGGTCCCAATTTGCAGCTAGGCTGTGTTGGTCAGTGACCTATCTGCTGCCAAAAACTGCTGGTTTCTACATCCCACACTCCTCTGCTATACAGCTAATAGATGGGTAGCAAGTGTCTGCCATCAAGGTGCTGTCATGTATTACATGTGGAAAATTTAGGAGCAGCTCAATACTAGAGGAGCTCAGTCCAGCTTTTATTGCTGAAACACTTATGAAACTTCTCTTTTGCTTCCAATGAACATTTTTAATAGATCAATAATGTTATATTGTTAGCAGAAATTACCTTTTGGTAGAAGTCTGAAAGGAAAAAGGCAAATAATTCACAGATTTAAAGCTCAGATTTAGGCCACTTGTCGCCTGTGTTACTGCAAAAACATAAAACATTTGCAGCATGCTTCTACCAGGTCATTCTTGCACAGCCCATATATTCCATTTCTCTCTTTTCCTTTTCCTTCTTTTCCACTAAGGTGCAAGCCCTGCCTTCACCACTTTCTCTTCCTTCCTTTGGTGCCCTAGGAGAGAAAGCACTGACTTTGGTGGTGCTGGGGAGTGGTGAGCAGCCCTGGATGGGGCGCACGTTGTCTCCCTCGTGGGCTCTCCCCTCTGTTATTTCTAAGAGCTGGGTTTGAACGCACTGTCTGTTTTCCCCAACAGTAGGTTACACTTCCAAAGCGACTCATGTTTTTTACTTCCCATCCTCTTTGCCATCTGTCTGTAGATCTTAGTACACAGTCTGTTAGGATTTGCTGATAAAGGTTTTATTAAGATTTATTTAATGGGATTTTCAATCTTCCCCTCTTTAATCCATGCTGGAAAAAATATTAAATAGTGAAAATCCACAGCTGCCTTGTAACTAAATCACATTCACTCAACCTGGGGAGGAATGATTTCTAAAGAACTTCTGTCTCACAAGAGCTTAGTAGTTGTTTTGTTTATAATCTTGCTGTGGTTAAAATTGCTGCAGTGGGGGGGAAGGAAAGAAAAATGGTTAATGCAGTTGTTTGTGTGGCTTGCCCTAGATATTATTGTTACCAGTTTTTCATATTTTCCTTTATTCTTTTCTTCTTTTTTTCTAATGAGCAGAAGCAATTGTGAAAGGAGAAATTGCTGAAAACAAACGGTACAACTATAAATAAAATGAATTCTTTTCATCTGATGCAAGTCAAGGGAAAAACCTACCTCAATATGCTCTGACTTCTTGACACTCAAGGTGTGATCAGAGATTACTTATCATCCACAAGAGAGTGGAAGCAAGTTAATTAAAATTTCCCACCCTTTCACTGAATGAAATGTCTCCCAGTTTGAGATGCATTATTTGAACACTTCTTTTTCAGTAGAGTGTACTTTCTACTTCTTCTAGTGTTCAAATCCAATATTTGCCACCTAGAAAGAGCATTGCAATTTCATCTTACAGAATTTTATGTTTGACATTTTATTTCTATTGTCTCAAATAATAGTAGATAGAATAGTTTTAATTATTGTATTAAATATAAATTCAGCAGGACTGTTTTCCTCTCTACCTGTCCCCCAATCCTTTTTTTGTTTAGAAGCATTTTTGCTTTGGAAAGCATTTAATATGACACCAATTAAAGGTCTGTGTGACCGCGACTCCTGCTGGCACACAAATTCCAGGGATAAAATTACAGCTGATGATTCAGGAGGGGGAGAGAGAAGTCATTTCTTGTCGTCTTAAAGAAAGCTTCAATTATCTGTATTTGCAAGTAAGGAGCTTGAAGTTCCTATGAATTACACCTGTTTATTCAGGAGTGACTCCTTTCTCTTGTCTGTCATCTTCAAATGCATCCAATTACAAGAAATAGCTTATTCCTCGGGGACCTGGGGAAGAGGTGTGGTGTCTGACTCCAGCACAGCGTCCTGCAGAGTCAGAGAGAGCTTGTTAAGGAGGATGTGGAGCTCAGAGGAGGTGTGCACCTCTGCATTCATTACATTTCCTTTCCTCTAAGCAGCTGAGCATGCAGATTGTTGGGTACCATCTCACAGGAAAATCAAGTCACCTTTTTTGTAACAGTTGTACAGCACTCATTCCCCAGAGATTTTTACATTTCCAGATTTTAAAAAAGAAAAAACTATAAGCCTGACTTTAATTTAATCCTGGATTTATTTTCTGAAAACCTTACACTTCTGAAAGTGCTTACCTGCTCTTTTCCTTTCTGCACCATTGGAATTGTGAAATACAACATCATCTGCTGCAGATGATGCTTAACCCTGACAAGTCAGACAGGTCCAAAGCCAGTCTTGTCTCGCTACTCAGAGCCTGCAGGGACAGTGGGGCTGTGGCAGGAGTGATGGCGTGTCCCTGAAACAGTTTGGCTTCTGCAGCAGCGAAATGAGCTCTGCGTGGTATTGATGTCGTTCCTCATTGCCCTAATCTCCCTCTGATTTGTGATGTTTGTTGTACATGATACAAGGAGAAGGTTCTCCGTGCTAATCACCAACCTTAGGCAATGAATTCAAAATACAAATCCTCTTTGCCACATAGGATGTTGCTTGGGGCACAGACAGGGTTTGCCGTGCCAGTCTTTCCTGACCTGCTAGTCTTCCACCCCCTAAATGAGTGAGCTCCTTGTGGTTTTTCCTCCAAACACTGTTTGATGGAGGAATGTTTTGGTCAGGTCCTTTTATGCATTCTTCCAAGCACCTCATGGCAGGCTTGTGATGGTGGATGCTCTGACCTTATTCTTAATGCTTATGTTGCATATTTTCATCTTTGTTTTTGGAAGGCATTGACCAGACTTACGGCTCTCACTGTGTTGTTAATGTGTTTTCTTGAGACATCAGCTCTTAAAGGCATCTAGATATGTCAGAATTTTTACGTTACCTTTGGATGTTCTATTTTAAAAAACAGAAAGAGGGGAAAATATGTATCTTATGGGGAGAAATGGAAGTTTGAGGAGACGCTAAATCTACCATGATCACAGCTGTAGTGTAAGCCCCGACAGCTTCAGAGGGCGTGAGAGCTATTGGTCCCCTCTTGCAGGGCATCTCTTTCCTCTCCTAGAGTTAGCAGTTCTGGTCTGTACATGGTGATGTTGTATCTCTGTCAGTCTCTGAAAGCCTCTGTACAGAAATTAGAGTTTTTAAATGTTTGCCTTTGTAAGCAGGAGTGATACAAATTCTTCAGCTATTTGCGTTTGTAGTCATGATCAGGTTTTTAATAGGTATAGTCAAACAGTCAGTTATAAAGATACCAAGTGACCTAAATTACATTTGTTAGAAGAAAGGAATAGCTGAGATTGGAATTCACTAAAATACCTTAAAATAACTACAGAAGGATTTGGATTAGTTCTGATCAAATGACTGTTTTATTACCGTGGAATAAATGGATTTTTTTTGGAGCTTCAGAACTATTGTGCCTTACCCAGTGTTGAGAATTGGCACTTAAAACTCCTTGCATGCACATGAAACAGCGTGAAGTGCCTGAGCTTTTTGGCAAATGTAATTGCTATTCCAATAGAATATAGTTATATTTGTAGAGACTGGTAATTACCATCTCCCTGATTTGTGTTTATTAAAATTAAAAACTAGTAAATGTGCTCTAGCATCTATTTGTTAAATTACTGGACGTCAAGTAGACATCTCACTGGAGCAGTCTGTTGAAAGCACCAGTGCTTCTCTCTGTGCGAATTACAGGGCCTGCCATTCAGCAGAAGGAGAATTAGCGAGGCTCGGCTGGGTTGATTGCGGCTGGAGCCAGACTTTGTACTAAAAGGCAATGCTTTTGGTCTCGCCCACGGATTTCCTGATTCAAAATAACAAGGAAGCAAAGCGTCTTTGTGGGTGATAAAAGCAATAGACCTGTACTTAGGTTTTATTTTTGTTGTTGCTGGCTATTTTGCTTTTGATCCATCACGGTAGAGTAACCTGACTGATTTCTGTACAGTTCTTTAGGGTTTACTGTAGCCTAGACAAGAACAGAATCTGAGCAAGTCAGTGTTGTCATTTTTTAACTACTTGAATATCTTTTTGCCTAGGAAGAGATAATTGATAACATACAAGGAATTAGTCCTATTCAGATCTGGAGTCATCTGAAGCTAGATAAATGACTCAGGCAGTGTGAAAACAAGATCACAGATGTTTACTGTTTCAAACAAACTCATTTAACAGTTGGGATGTATGGACGAATGGTCCCGTGTCTCATGGTTTTGATTGTTTTCCTTCCTGCCAAGCTGAACATACAGAGTGACCCTATAGAAACCCTTTCTCCCTCCCAGAAAACACACACATGTTTTTTCTTAAGGGTTTTTTTTCACGTCAAACTGAATGTCACACTGCAAGTGATGATGCTAACTGTTGATTTTTCTTTCCTAGGGAGTTGAAGTGCAGACAGATTACGTTCCGCTGCTGAATTCGCTTGCCATGTACGGCTGGCAGCTGACATGTGTGCTTCCTACTCCCATTGTGAAGACAAACAGGTAGGGAGAGGTGGGCACTGCCTTTCAGCCAGAGTAGTTACTGTTGGAACACCGCAGTTTGTGCAGTCAGTGTGGCTTCCCCTGCATGTGCACGGTAACTGCCTGTGGAGACCCTGCTGTAGCTCTTCTATGGGTTTTCTGAGCCTCACAAGACATGTGGCAGGAAACACGTGCCCAGGGTGGTCAGAACACTTCAAGGTGGTAGTTTGGTTTCTGCTCAAGTTTTCTGGGTATTGTCTCTCTGTAAACTCCTTGACTGTAAAATTTGTACTCTGGATCTCCCAGTAACTCCTCTTAGAGCAAAGACAAAACGTGTGGTAACATTTAGAGTGAGATGTTGCCTACCTGAAGGAAAGTAATTTTACTTGTGATCGATGTCTGTCTAATGCTGCTGATCCACACGGTCTAGCTGAGCAGGGCCATGTGAGACTGGTTTTTCATTACTCTAGTAGCCTTGTTTGCATACATAATCATTGTGCTGTCTACTTTGCTATTATTAATATTCTGGGGTTTTAAATATAGATGCAAGTAATTTAAAAATACTCCTCATAACTGTGGTGAAAAACAATTATCCCAGTTGTTAATCATGAAGATGGCGCTTTCTGAGCTTTCACTGGTCAGGAATATATTTATATATATATACACCAATATAATCAATTACGATTTTTTAATCTTAAAAGAGTAAAAATATGCCCAGCACTTGAGGAGATCTAGATGGAGACTACTCCTACACATAAACCCCTAAAAAGTAAAGGCCATCTGTGCTGGGGGAAAAACAGTATTTAAGTTTCTCATATATATTTAAATATAGGAATGAAAAGAAAATCACAATTATGGTTCGGAAGCCCTGTCTCTTAAAGGTATATCTGGTTTTCTTTCTCTTTTAGCTTTCTGAACCTCATTTGTAACGTCAGTGACAGAGGTCAGGTTGGCAGTACAGAAGGGCACCCACCCAGTCTAACCACTGGTGGCATTTGGTTGTGCCTCCTGCCATGCTGCAAGACCTCTAGGGAGCACCCAGCCCCATTCCAGATTAGTGCCCTGCAAAGGAGGGAACGCTCTGGTGTCCCTGAGACACTGGCACTGGAGCACCTGAGTTTCTTGCTCTTCATTTCAAACAGTTTATTCTGTGCTTACACACTAATGCTAAAACATTCAGCAAAAGTATGTCACAGGCTGACAGGCTGTATCAGGCTGAACAGTTGCTCTTTTTTTCACCCCAAAATACCAGGCTGCTCAAAGACACTGGGGACAGGCAGAGTTTAGGTCATTCTTCATTTTATTCTTCTTTGACCTGCAGAAATGAATGACTGAGATGGATTTTCACTTTGAACAATGCTGGATGTGAATTTAATTCATTCTCAGGAGTGTGCATTTGTTACTTTTCAGGGAGGGAAATTTATCTACAAAGCAAATTGTATTTCTTCAGAGACCTTCCTTGCCCCAGAAAGCAAAGAAGAAAGAATCTAAGGTAAACAACCTTCAGTTTCTTGTTTCTTTGTCTTTTACTTGATGGTACTTTAATATTGTAATTTATTTCCTATGGAAGTAAAAATGGCATGTTCACCATTTCTCTGATACAGTAGCAAGAGATAAGGAATCAAGCTGTTCATATGAAAGAACAAAAAATGCTCAACTGCTGTGAAAGCTCTTATATTTCATTCTGTGCTGAGCTCATGGCAGCAAGGCCATAAACCTCCATGTGACCTAAAATTCTCTGTCCATGTTCACTGCCTCCAAGGTGAAGCCAATACTATTTTCTTTCACCCACTGCCTGTCTTTTCTGTTTAAACTGCTCTTTGTTTCCTGCTATGTGTTTTGGTAGAGCCTAGCACAACGTAGGCCTGATCTTGGCTGGTGTTTCTGTGTATTGTGTGAATGTCAATGAATGCTACTTGAATTGAAAAGAAAAAAAGCCTGAATCCAACTAAATTATCAGAGAACATAGCTGACAGCTGATGGTGTATGTATGTGGATACACACATGTATTCCCATTTCCACTTTTAATGTGTATCTGTGGGAACCCTGCCCTGGACTTCAAGCGAGCAGACTTTGGCCTCTTCAGGAACCTGCTTAGTAAGGTTCCATGGGCTATAGCCCTAGAGGGCAGGGGGGCCCAAGACTCTTGGTTGATATTCAAGGATCACTTGCTACAGGCTCAGGAGTGTTGCGTTGTGACTAGAAGGAAGCGCAGCAGGAGGGCCAGGAGACTTCCTTGGATGGATAAGGAGCCGCTGAGGAAAATTCAAAGGAAAAGAGAGGCTTATAAAAGGTGGAAGCAAGGACAGGCAGCCTGGGGAGAATACAGGGATGTTGCCTGGGAAGCTAGGGACCAGGTTAGGAAAGCTAAGGCCCAGTTAGAATTAAACTTGGCTAGGGATATTAAGGATAACAGGAAGGGATTCTGTAGTTACATTGCAAATAAAAGACAGACTAGGCACAATGTAGGCTCCCCCTGGAAGCTATCAGGAGAACTGGCTACCCTGGATTTGGAGAAGGCTGAGGTTCTGAATGACTTCCTTGCCTTGATCTCCACTGGCAAAGGCTCTGACCGCACCACCCAAGTCTTGGAAGGCAGACGCAGGGACTGTGAGAATGAAGACCTTAGGCCATTGTAGGAGAATCTGCTTCGAGACCATCTTAAGAACCTGAACGTGCACAAGTCCATGGGACCTGATGAAATCCATCCGTGTGTCCTGAAGGAGGTGGCAAATGAAGTTGCTAAGCCATTGTCCATCATATTTGAGAAATCATGGCAGGTGAAGTTCCCGACAACTGGAAAAAGGGAAATATAACCCCCATTTTCAAGAAGGGTAAAATGGATGACCCAGGGCATTACAGACCAGTCAGTCTCACCTCTGTGCCTGGCAAAATCTTGGAGCAGATTCTTCCTGGAAGGCATGCTAAGGCACATGAGAAACAACAAGGTGCTTGGTGACAGCCAGCATGGCTTCACTAAGGGGAAATCCTGCCTGACCAATTTGGTGGTCTTCTATGATGGGGCTACAGAACTGATGGACAGAGGTAGAGCAGTTGATGTCATCTACCTGGATTTGTGTAAAGCTTTCGACACTGTCCCACACGACAACCTTGTCTCTAAATAGGAGAGGCATTAATTTGATGGATGGACCACTCGGTGGATAAAGAACTGGCTGGATGGCCACACAAAGAGTTGTGGTCAATGGCCCAATGTCCGGCTGGAGACCAGTAATGAGTGGTGTCCCTCAGGGATCAGTGTTGGGACCAGTCTTGTTTAACATCTTTGTCAGTGACATGGACAGTGGGATTGAGTGCGCCCTCAGCAAGTTTGCTGATGACACCAAGCTGTGTGGTTCGGTTGATACGCTGGAGGGAAGGAATGCCATCCAGAGGGACCTTGACACGCTTGTGAGGTGGGCTGATGCCAACCTCATGAAGTTTAACCATGACAAATGCAAGGTCCTACACCTGGGTCGGAGCAATCCCAGGCACAGCTGCAGGTTGGGCAGAGAAGAGATTCAGAGCAGCCCTGTGGAGAAGGACTTGGGGGTGCTGGTCGATGAGAAAATGAACATGAGCCGGCTTCAGTGTGCACTTGCAGCCCAGAAAGCCAACTGTATCCTGGGCTGCATCAAAAGGAGAGTGACCAGCAGGTCAAAGGAGGTGATCCTGCCCCTCTGGTCTGCTCTCGTGAGACCTGACCTGGAGTATTGTGTGCAGTTCTGGTGTCCTCAAGATAAAAAGGACATGGATCTGTGGGAGCAAGTCCAGAGAAGGGCCACGAGGATGATCATGGGACTGGAGCACCTCCCGTATGAAGATTGGCTGAGAAAGTTGGGGCTGTTCAGTCTGGAGAAGAGAAGGCTGCGTGGAGACCTCATAGCAGCCTTCCAGTATCTGAAGGGGGCCTCTAGGGATGCTGGGGATGGACTCTTCATTAGGGACTGTAGTGATAGGACAAGGGGTAACGGGTTAAAACTGAAACAGGGGAGGTTTAGACTGGATATAAGGAGGAATTTCTTTCCTGTGAGGGTGGTGAGGCACTGGAATAGGTTGCCCAGGGAGGTTGTGAGTGCTCAAGTGCGGTGTTCCAAGGCCAGGTTGGGCAGAGCCTTGGGTGACATGGTTTAGTGTGAGGTGTCCCTGCCCATGTCAGGGTGGTTGGAACTGGATGATCTTAAGGTTCTTTCCAACCCTAGGTATTCTATGATTCTATGATTGTATGAACCGCTGCCCAAACCTCTCGCACTATTACCTCTGAGAGGGAGATAGAAGGACTGGAAACAGGAATTGCTGACCTTCCTACAGTACTTGAGTTTTCCTTGTCCTTTCAGTACACAGAGTGTCAGGAAAGCCAGGTGAAATATGGAAGAGACCCCTGAAACCACATGATGAAAAGATTGCTAACGGATACAGCCTTATTGTTACCCTAGTTCTGTGTGCTTTGGTAAGTGATGGCTAGTCCAGTGTCACTGGGAAGAGAAGTGAGCTCAAGGCCTGCAGAAGCTGATGGGGAATGCTAAGCAGAGCTGAGCACAGGGAGCATTTAATCCACCATTTAAAATAATGACAGATTTCATCTATAAAGCCCTCACTCTTTTCAAGCCTGGTTCTTTGAAAGTCGTTTTTTAAAGACAGTGGAGATCAGAGGGTGTTTGAACTGACTGAAGTAGGGGAGAAGTACTGGGAGTGTGACACCATGATTTAAGAATTACCCTCTCTCACTAGCATAGCTGGAGTCCGAAGTAGTCTGTGAACATGTTACAAAGTCCATCTTACTTGGTTTTCTCTTTGTTTTCCTGTGATTAGGGGTCTTGGGATGAGGGTTGGAATGCCTGTATTTGGTCAAACCACACAGAGTGTGGTTTTAATGGAAGGGGTGGGAGCCTATAGTGATTGTACGTCTTCAGATAGAGAAATCAGTCTGACACTGATTCCTTGTGTTACAATAACAAACACATACCATCCAGATGACTCAAAGCTTTGTTTAAATTTTTTCATTCGGGGATATAAAAACTTATTTAACAATGTCTGGTTGACAAAACAAAGGATTTACTTGTTGGCAGTATTAAATATACAGACATCTTTGAGAGCAGAATCACTACAGCACATTTTCATACTGAAGGTCAAGGAAAAATGGGATATGTGGATTATAGTTATATAAAGAAATGTAAGACTGGTTCTACTTCTGTACATGGTTGTTGCCAGTCACATCAAAGATGCCAAGCCTAGCATTTGGTTAAGTTGCTGAATATTTTGCACATACAGTGTCACAGACTTTCGAGGGTTTTTTTCACTTGTGACATGGCATATCTGAAATGTTTACGGATAACCCCTCGCAGGGGGAAATTGTCTGATGAAATTAAAAGGACATTGCAGTCTTGGAAACTGACCCATCCTTTCTATGCACACCGACCACCTGCTGTTCAGTTTAGCCAGAGGAACAGAAGAGGAAACATGCAAGGAGTGGTACAACTTACTTTTCTCTTCAGTAAGACAGAAGTACTCGTAACAGAGCAATATCCAGTCAGTAATGAGATAATCGTGTTCATTCACTTTGTACAAACGTGATGCTTATGTTTGCATGTTTGTGAAATACAATATAAATACCTAAGTATACGTACGTTTGCACATGCACAAAATCTCCTACAGTTTGATCTTTATCACATTTAGGGCCCTGACCTTACCTTCCACTGAAGAGAGCTTTGAGTTAAAGGGGAGTTGTGGGTGCCCAGCACTTCTGCAAGTCAAAGAGAAAAACACTGTGGGGGGGGTGAATTTGAAACAGTTGAGCTCTAGACCTGAGATACTGTCTTTCCTATTTCTCTAAGTTGTGGTGATATTTAAGTGAAAGATTGCTCTTTCTAAGTAAAACCAAGAAGAATTTGCTGAAAGCAAGTTTCTACTTTTTTCCCCTTTTCTTTTTACATTAAGTTTTGGCTAGCAGAAGGAAAGAGCATTGTTCCAGCTTCATAATCTAATAAACTTAATAGGTTTTGAATGGCTTTTTGATTAAGGAATAAATAGCTAGATCAAAAATTTATGAACATGAGTCGTTCCTTGCACTGACTTCAGCACAGACATGGCTGCACTGGAGGAAACAGCTTTTGGACCACAGCCAAATTTGCTGAATATCTTGATGAGAGTACTTATGCCACCCAAACATCGCCTCCTAACCCAGCCCCAAGTTCCCATCAGCTTGGACACTGCTGACGTAATGGTTGTGCACATTCACATGTACTTAGCAAACTTGTGCAGGCTGGCACATGGTCTGGCTTTCCTTGGGAAGGACCATTTATTTGTTGACAAATGAAGCAGATCTATTAGTGGCACGTTAGCCTTTGTATATGTTATACCTGTCAAGTCAGTATTTCAAGGTGCTGCTAGTTCCCTTCTGTAATAGTTGAAACAGTTCTTCTGAAGGGGCAGCTGTGGTAAGTCTTGTGGCAAGTGCTACAAGAGGCAGTCTCATGCTTTCTTATCCAAAAAATTTCCTACAAGTTGTGCAGAATATCTTAGTGTTTGGGTATAGTCTTGGGTATGGTGTTAGTTCTGCTGCTAATCTGGTGAAGAACGTTGGAGTAACATCATAGGATTGCTTCCTCTGTAGGCTTTAGTGGTGACAGCAGGTGGAGTGGTACGCACTAGGCCTGTGAAAGAGCAGAAGCAGAATGCATCACAGTCTCATTTTTCTGTGTAATAGATATATCTGTGTAGGCACAAATGATCTTAAGCTGACCAATTTAGTCATGCAATCTTCTTTTGATCAAACTTTTTTTTTTGGTCAAACTAGCCTTTGAGTTAAAACTAAATAATGAAAGCTCTTCTACTCGGGAAAGTAAATGTCCATGTCAGAGTCTATCTAATGGTCTCTTAACATTTGTGTCTCTTACCTGTAGTTTCACTGGAGGTTCTCCAAAGAAGGCGTGCACAACAAACAAATGAAGAATTCCACAAAGCCTAGACTAAGTACTAGGGAGAAGCAAAAAGCAGCAGAGAGGCAGGAGTTTGAAGTCACGGAGAACACAAGAAACTTAGAAGCACAAATCTCAACAGCAGACAAGCCTGATCCAGAAGAGCAGCTGGATGATGTCATAGACTTGGGTGATGCAGTAGCTGGGACCAACAACAGAGGTACCCATCACAACGGGGCGTCAGAAGAAACATGTCCTGCCGGTTGCGATACTGGTGACAGTGATGCCCAGGTCTGCCTCAGCGAGAGCACAGCTGGCTGCTGTGTGGAGCAGGTCACAGAACAGGGACTCTGTGCTCCAGTGTCAGACGTCTGCAGTGGCAGGGATGTGTACAGCTCCTGTGAATAAGACCCGCACTGGGAGAATCCTGTGAGTTGCTGATACTTTGCCAAGAGAAAAGAACAGATTTTGCTTATCGCCATTGCTCAATTCAGCATTTCTTTGGCATTGTACTTCCTTTGCTCTTTAGCACACCAGTATCTTGATGTTTTAAGTCACTCCAGGGCCTGGGCTTTCTAACCCACAGAAATTAATTGCAAGATTCCATCTGCTGTACAGAGCGGGAAATGCCCTACACCGTCTCCTAGAGCTACACTTGAAATTAAAAAGCAAGGTCAGAAAACATACTTGGGTTTTTCTGTGAGTGACCTTAGTAAAATAGGTTTGCATCTAGGTCAGGGCAAACGTTCCACTCAGATCTTACTCTGTAATACTTTCTTGTCCATGTATCTTTGCTGGAGAAGTTATTGTGCCATATGTTATTTTGTCATTAAGCTTGTAGTGTCATGGAAATGGTATTTGGACTTAAACAGGCTGAAATGGGAAAGCATAGATAAGATGGCTGTTATCTATATTTATCTCAAATAGCATACTTACTGATGAGTTTTCTGAGTTTTAGTAACTCCTGCAGATCTTTAAGCAATGAGCAAAGCGTGCACCTATTTTAGGCAGTCTGGGTAAACAAATCCCAGGGTACCTTTGTGTGAGGTAGACAATTCCAATATAAAATGCAGTTCGCTATCTGCTCACATTTCTGTTTTCTTTATCAGTTCATCAATAGTGTGGGGGCTTCAGAAGGCAGAAAAACAGGGAAAAAAAAAAAGCAGGTAAAATGTGCTGCTTTCAGTAGCTATCATTGCTAAAATTGGAATGTGATGCTACCTCCTGCCCCTTCCAGGTGGTCATGCACCACTTCCTCACTGTTACGGGAACTGAAATTGTACACATGGGTCAGCGTCCAACAAATGTCACTAAATGACCTTACACATACCTTAATAAAGGGGGTTTTGTACAAGTAACCGTATTTTTGGACTGATACCTACCAAAAAGTCTGTAAAATTACCAACATTTTTATGTTTGGAGCTACATTAAAATATTTACAAGTGAATGTACATGTGTAATATAGTTTGTGTGCCAATGTTCTCCAAGTACTTCAATATTCCTAAAAATGTAGGAAGTAGCGGTTTCTCTTTGCTTATTTGCCTTCATCCCAGTTCAGAAGTGGTCAAGTAATTTGGTAATAAAGTGAGAAATACATTCTGAATTCCCCTGCTTTTGTTGTTTATAAAGCAAGAGCTCAGTAAGCATTTTCCTGGTTTTTCCCTTGGCTGATTTGTGCCTGATCATCTCCCTCAGTCTTCAAATCAAAATGCTGTATGAACTGTGTTCTCTATCCGGTGTGCACCTCGAGTGCCTCAAAAGCGTCTTCCACACCTCAAAATGATAGAGTTGGCAGAACATTGCAGAGAAGGGAAAAAACACACCACTTTGAATATTCATCTGATCAGGCCAGTAGCACTCAGGTTGAAACCACTGGATTTCACATACGCAAAGCACGGTAGTGGTGGGGTTTTTCATTTGTGAAAGAGTTTTTCTATTTTTAATTCAGTGGTTTAACTACAGGACTGGAAGTAACTTCAGTTTCTAGTGGGATTTTTCAGTTCTTTCATTCTGCTTCTTGAGATCAGACTGGAGTTCCAGTAGCCTCAAAAATGGGTTGTTTCGGTTGTTCTACTTAACTCTGTACAGTCTTAAGTACTTGTTTGCAGATTTTATTAGCGTAAGATCCTTCTACTAGGTGGTTTCTATTTCAAGGACTTTCTTTGTGTTACTATTGTTTTAAAATTCACTATATTTAATGAACATTTTACTAGTAGGAAGTGTTGCAGCAGAGCAAACTCTCCAAAGTCTTTGGAATAGAAAGTGTTTTTCTTGCCTTGCAGTTTGACCTTGTGTGACTGGATCCCAACTGCTTACAAAACTGAAGAGAAATAAAGGTCATTAGGAGATTTCTTACTTGTGGTACTTGTGCAACTTCCCACATTTGTCCCCAGGAGGAACTGGGCCTGTTTAAGTGGTGATGAAGGGAAACTCCTTATAAGCAAATAGCAGCAGTTCCTAGCGCTAGAGAACTGGCTACTTGGTCTTCTGTCTGACAGAGCATGTCAGGGGCTCTAGGAAAGTTGCACTTGTTTAAATGAAAGCTCAATTTAAACCTTTGTTCCCATAAATGCCGGGGTGGGTTAAGGTTGGGGAGATTCGAACTTTCATGGGGTTTCAGTTTAAAGAGGGCAAATGGTTTTGGTTTTATAGTCGCATAATCAGTTCCGACTTCTGAATCATGGCTCTGTGACTGCTCTGTGCATTTTATCTCAGCTGCCTTTGCCACTGGGGGCTTGAATAAGCAAGACCACCAGAGTGGTGGAGGAAGTGAAGCAAGCAGTCATGCCCTTATCTACAGTGAGAATGGAGAAGAGAAAGGGCTGGCCCAGCGCCTAACTCCTGTGTCTGGAAACCTGAGCAGTGCAGGGAAATACACCAACAGTGGTGAGACTGTGTGTGGCCACAGTGGTACAGCCTTAACCTTCCACTCGTGGTGGGGATCAGGGCTCTGTGCTGACTTCTCGCTCAGAGAAGCCACAGTTACGCTGAGCCACTGGCTCCACAGTGGGCTTTGTCACCCCAGCAGAAGGTGGAGAGAGAAGCCAGGCCCTTTCTTTTCCCACAGAGAGCCACCATTTTAAGCCTAGCCTTTTTTTCCCCCAAAACTAGGCTGAATCTCCTAGTAGGGATGCAAACTAACTTTACTGTGCCTCTCTTGAAGGGAAGGAGGCTCCAGTGAGTATTGCTGGCAGGCCTGGGGAAGGAATGGATGGGTTGTGTTACCATGTGTTACCTATGGTTACGCTGGGTGGTGACAGAGAAGCACAACAACTCACACAAGTGTCATGCTGGTGTATTTTAACCTGAACGTGTCCTCGTTTGTTAGACCAACAAAATTCAGGTGCGTGGGTCCGTCGGAAGAGGAGGAATTACACATGCCAGTGTTCAGAGCAAGTGTCTGTCTGGACAGTGGTGAAATGGGATGAGTACAGCGGAGAAAATCCAGCTTGGACAATGAAGAAATGCTGGTGGGTGAGTGAAGCAAGAGGAGTGGCTGAGTTGAAGGATGGAAAAAGAGGTTTGCATTGAAACAGCGGGGGGGAGGGGGCAGAACCGTGGTGGAGAGAAGTCCAAAACGTTGAAGCTTCATCATGAAAACAGTGTCTGTAGAGTTTAGGAGGCATTAAATGCACAAACAACTTGACTGGCACTTCATCTTGCATATTTTCATTATTGGATCTGTACACTTGAAAACAGCATAATTGAAATAGCTCAAAGGAGTTTTAACATATGCATGGAAATGAAGCAAAGTATAAAACAATGTACTTGTCTTTTTTGCTAATTTGGCTCCTCTTTCAGCTTGTTTCTGAGGTGAGCAGAAGAAGGGCTCTGCATTAGGAGACCCATTTTTTTTCACTGTACTTTTACCTCAGGGAGCCAATTATGGGTCAGAAATAAAGCACCATCAGCTATTCATGAGGCATTTCATCCTCCCAAACTGAAGGGGTATAGGAAGAGCAGATACTAATTTCTTGCTGATAAATGCTTCTCAAAGGCAGGAGGAGCGCTGGCTGACAGCACCAGCGCAGCTATGAATTCAGAGCTGTAGATTCAGTTTGTGTCTCTTCCAGCCTGTCAGTGGAGCTGTGCCTCTGGCTGTAAGGGGTGATCCTTGCCAAGCCTCTGGTGGCTGAGAGGTGCCTGTGATGCCACATGCTGCAGCTGACTCTGCTCAGGACCTTACCTGGAAGCTGAAGGGGGGGAGAAAGGATTTTCCATTTAATTGCTTTCTGTTATTCACTCTAAAAGCCCCTAAAATGAGGTAATGATGACTGACTAGCCACTCTGCTTCCAGTTAATGAATGCAAATCCTATAGGAATACTTCATATTCATTGTACCAGATGAGCGCGCAGTGAACTGGTAAAGTGTGTGTCACAGGAAGGAGAGAAAGATTCAGTCTAACAAGGCTGTAGCACCAGGTAACTACGCTCTATCTCACTGAGTTTAAATGTGTAGATGGAGACAGGTTGCATACCTCATTTTATTGGGAAAATAAAAAAAAGAGGAAGAAGTATCAGTCTGCTTTTCCTGTGTAGTTGCCCCTGAGCTGATGGCACAAATGTAAGAGGAAAAAGCAGTTTCTAATACGGCACGTTATGGTTCAGTGATGTGATGAGGATGTTTCTCCACCTCAGTAGCTGCTGAAGAGCAGGGTTTGCTCTCTGTTCCCGCCAGTGTGGGCTAATAGCATATTCATTTAATTACTTGTAGAGATATCTTCATGTATAGGAGAATTTCCTTTCTTTTTTATTTATTTATTTCCCTGTCCCCCTGTCCAATTACAGAATCACAGGATGGTTTGGAAGGGACCTTGAAGCTCATCCAGTTCCAAACCCCTGCCATGGGCAGGGACACCTTTCACTAGACCAAGTTGCTCTAAGTCTCTCAAGTCCAACCTGGCCTTGGGCACTGCTGGGGATGGGGCAGCCACAGCTTCTCTGGGCACCCTGTGCCAGGGCCTCAGCACCTTCATATTAATTCCTGATATTTAATTGTGGTGGAGTCAGATCCAATAACATAGCTTGAGGTGAAACTGATGTTTTGCCACAAGACCACTAGAGTCTAAGCTAAAGATGAGTCTCCTGAAATATTAAGTGACAAAGGGAACAGGCTATGGAGGAAAAGGGATGTTAACAGCTTCCCTGGCTTCCTGGCTCAGAAATGGCATTTATTCCCATTACAAACATGATGGCAAGGAGTTCAGTGCCCGTTGGCAGGATTACCGTGCGAGGTAAGAATGAACTTAGAGCTGAGGTTCCTGCTATTTGAGATGGGGAGGTAAGGAATTGTTTTCTTCCTCCATCTTTCAGTGTGTGTTTAATGCTGCTCCTCAAGCGGGTGAGCCCATACAATGAGCGAGATGTGTCCTTGCCCCACAGCACTGGTCTGAGTGTAACAGGGGATGACAGAAAGAGGTTAGAGGGAAAAGAGAAGGATTGCAGAGGCAAGGGGCTTTGAAATGCCTTTTGTTAAATGGACATTTTGGGGCAAGGCTGAGGAGTGGTTTGTGAACGAGATGTCGTTTGGACTGAAGAAAGTCTGTGCATTAAGGGGAAAAAAAAAGGGTAAACCAGTTCATTATGCATGTAATGATTTAACAGTCATATGAAAAACAGCATTTAAAGGCTTCTTGGAATCTCTTTGTCATTACACTGATAAGCATGCAGGAGCCTCACGCATGATTTTTATTTTAGGGCACCAGGACTTTCCAATAGCTATTAGTGCATGTTTCTAGAAAAATACCCAGCCTGCTTCCTCCGAGCACCAAGCTCTGACATGGCAGTTGCCATCTCTGAGAACACAAACAGCCGTGGTTTTATTTTCTGTGGCAAGCACGCTGTCCTATTTACATTCCAGAGTGAACAAACAAGGAACCATCCCCTGAAACGGGGGGACTTGGAAAGAATCTTCCTCATTTGTGCGGGAGGGAATGTGATGAGACATCCCCCCCTGGGGCTGCAGCCACAGCTCAGTTTGGCTGCCTGTAGTGCTGCACACGACAGAAAAACAAACCTCAGTGGATGAGGCTGCAGGCACCAGAAGGTGAGAACTCACGGGCAGTCTCTCATCATGGCACCCTCTTTGACTCCCAGGAAGCACTAGGACATTTCAGTTGTTCACTCAGCTTCTGCAACAACTGCAGCTGTATTCCTGTGCCGCAGGCAAAACAGGGGCTGCAGTTTCCCAGCGAGGTTATCGCTGAGGCTTGAGGTGAATGTGGATGTGGCAGAAGGTATAAGCTTTATCAGAGATTCAGGTAAAAAGAGGTTAAGGCTCAAGGCTAAACCCAGCATCCAGAGCTGAAATGACTCTCTAGGAGGACTAGAGCTGGGCTGCAGGCTGTTTTAGCCAGGCACTGGAAGTTATGCTTGAAATATATAAAGTGCTGCACACCAACAGTACTGCTGCAGCGTGGGAACTGGGTGATGGGATTGGTATCTTTGCAGCCTCTGTTGAAGGCAGAGAAGAGGGATGCTGAGAGCAAGAAACTTGCTGCATTACATATTTGACTGTTGTCTGAAACGTAACTCAAGGGAAGGAGGCGCTAACAAAGAGAAGGCCTTACATCTTTTTAGCGTTTTTGAAATTCAATAATAATCTAAGCTTTTTAGTAATTTAAATGTTCCTTATGGAGGTCTTCAAATGTACAGTGGGAATCTCCATCACTTAAGGACTTGAACTGCCTACAGTGGTGTTTAACAAACTCATTATGGCTTTTTGTTAGTCTCATCATTGCTAGGATGAGTTTTTCTACAAGTCAGAGGAAGAAGCTTCATTCAGGAAGGGACCCAGTGTCAGTCACTGCACCCAGAGGTACACTCCTACCTTGAAAGTGCAAACTCTTCAGAGACTCTTTTCCAAACAGAACAGGTATCTCCTGGAGACTGAGACAGACTCAGTGCTGCAGCAGGATTATGGAGGTGCCCTGCCCCAGCTGCTTTAGAGGACGCAGCCTGTACAAGTTCAAGCTGGATGGGCACTCACAGCACCAGCAAGAGAGGCAGGTTCCCGTGAGTAACTCCCATCCAGCTCCATCAGAGGCTAACACTCAACACTCCTAGCTCAGGTCTGAGTCTGATTATGAAAACATGTCTTCTACTGTCAGCACAGTTGCCTTACTTAAATAAACCACATAAAAGGCAGGGGGGTTTCTTTTAAGAAGACGTGGCAAGAGGGAAGTCACGGCAACTTGACTTCTATAAACGAAGGATACAGACCTGGGGAAGGCAGTGTGTTGTCATTAGCACAACAGCTTGGAGCAGAATCAGGAGTTGTGGCCTGAATTATTATTTGTTATACACTTACCTGGCCCTTCTGCACAACTACTTCTCTGCAACTGCTGAATCAGGCACTCCATGGCTTTCAAGAAGCTGACTAACAAACAAGTGCATAAAGTGAAAATATGCTGCTACCCGTAAGAAGTTAAGCAGCCCATCAAAAAAACAGAAGAGTTGATGTCTTTAATATAAAATCATTTCCCCCCCAAAAGCAGCAGCATTACAGTTGTATTACAGTTACATTAAAGGAACATTCTCATGATTGAGGACATCTTCCTGTGTGAAATAGAATCTTCCAAATAATTAATAGTCCATTTCTGTACATTTTAGCTTATCAAAATACACTAGAAAAAAAACCAGTATCATCTTCTCTGTTCAGCAGGTGTCACTACCACCATTTCTCAAAGAAAATACAGTTTCTAGGAACACCAATGTCAGACAGGAGTTTGGATATGGATTCTATCATCGGAGGTGGACCGCAGATGTACCATAGAGTATCCCTGGATACATGTTTTTCTAGGTCCTTTTCAGATATTCTTCCCTCTGACAAAAAGAAGTAGGAAACGAGAAAAGAAATATTAACGGGGAAGTAATTTCAAACAGAATGACTGGTTTGAGGTATTTTAAGCTCTCGTCTCTTAAAAATGCCTGGTCTGTTGAAGGATAATTGCTACTGAGATTGGAGGCTTCCAAACCCATTTGCTCTTCAGGGGATTTCAGTACTTCCAGTTCGAAGGCACAGGGCATTCAGTCACTGAAGAGGAACATGGTTTACGTATGACTAAAAATCCCACGTTCAGATGAAAAACAATAGGCATCTCTAACACAGATGCAACAGAAAGGGAAATGTGAAGTGTCCCTTAGAAGCAGTTAGCTTCTCCTTCATCAATCCCACCTTCAGCAAAGTAAACACTTTGCTTAATAGTTGCTGGAATAAAATTTGTAGTGGGAAATTATTGTATAAAGCTTGGAATTAACAGAGAAAGGTTATTAGAAACGAAAACAAAAACTGCGAAGGTAAAATGTTTCTGCAAAGCACAATACATACAGTGAAATTATTTAGGTTTAACTTGCATCTCATTTTGAATCTTTACATGTAAAAATAGTACTATGCATACAGCTAAATTATGCATTTAACTTCATCCTCTAGGATGTAATCAAATTTAGACTGTAGTTATCATGGCTGTGCCTTGCCATGATCTTTACCTGTAACGTGTGGCCGAAGCTCTTCACAGATGGGTGAGCTCTGCTGGGTGACGTGGAAGTGACACATGATCTTTCCCGGAAATGCATTCATCAAACCAAGAATGTTTTTCTGTAATGTTAAACACACTCGCTTACACCACAGGCCAGTAAATCAGAGCAGATGTCTGCCCACGGCCCCACAACACTGGTGATTATGACCCAGCACCAAGACTATTGCATTTCTGCACTGAGACCTCAATGGACTTCACTTTACAGCACTGACCTGCACATGTACATGGAATTTCCATAACTGGAACGTGAAGACACTGCCAGCTGTGTTGTCAGTGTGCCTCTCCTATTTTATACTAGGTTGCAATTTGTAAGATTTGGACCCAAGAACCATTTATGTCCTTTCCTGACTTCCTCCACATACAAATTCTCATTATTTAGATCCTTCCACATCCATGGGTTTTCCATTTAAAAACCAAAACTGCGGTGTGCCTTTACCACTTGCTAGGAACTTTTTGAGTCTTGTCTGCTTTATCTGGTAAGATTACTGGACTCTTTACTCTTTCTCTCATGTTCTCCAGTGAAAACCAACTACAGTGTAATGCTAATGCTATTTTTCCAGCACAGGAACTGTAATTTTCAGTTCCTCAAGTCACAGCTGTGATAGTTCCCACCAAAACCCCAGCGGCTGCAGTTCAAATCACAGTAGAAAATAAATCAATCTGTCAGTCAGATGCTGCACTCAGTTCTGAACCCAAGATGCAGTTACTGCCTGGACTCCGTGCTAGTTCGGATTTTCACTGCAGGAATGGACACTGGAACTTCTTTCTTAAAATACCCTGAAACAAAAATTAATGTCTACACTGTGAACTGGTAAATTAGCTCATTTTGTTATGTGTTTGCTTACTCACTAGTTATTACAGTGGACAGTCTGCCATAGGTTACTTAACACAAGCCCCCAGACAGATTGTATTTTACAGACAAATCTAGTTTCTGATTTCCTAAGATGCCACAGGGTGACAAGCAGCACAGACCGACAGTGCCATTCACTGTTCCACCAGCACCTGCCTTCACTGCTCTGGAGGCGACTCTAAACTTCAGTCTCCTCATGTGGAAAAATGTAGAATTTAATAGCACCTTGGAAACTAACCATGTCCTCTTGAAGTCCTAGGACTAGGCCAAAGCGTGCCTAAGGTAGGTCTTAACCTGCTTAAATAATCCTGCAGTCACTCACAACACCTTTTAGTAACCCTAATCTCTAACTCAGTGACATGAACACAAAGTGGCAAATACACCCATGGTATCAACCACCAAAGTACCATTTTCTAGTATCCTAAGGCAAGAGACAGGCTCTCAAATGGAATGAAGGAGAATTTCAACAGCTCATCAGCTCTTTGCAGCCTGGTGATTTAGTGTACATAATGAAGCTGGATCACTAAGGGAATTCCCTGAGGAAAAAGGCCTAGCCCCAGCATCCCAGCCACAATAAGGAAATACAGGTCAGATTCAGTCCACATGAAATCAGGAAAGCCCAGCTAACTGCCATCTCACAGTAGCAAAGTTAGGATGCCATCTCTTGTCATTCTAACACTGTATGCTTCTGCCATTTTAAACAACAGGATCTCCAGAAGCACATGCAGTGCCTCTGCCTGTGAAATGACAGCACAGCCAACATGGGAATTAAACCAATTACATCAGCATCGTCCTCCATGCCTGTCAGCCTACACACAGCTGCTTCTGTAGGGAACTGGTCCTTCAAACCATTAGTGACAACCAAGCAGTTCCTCCTGGAGAGTTGTGCAGATGTATCTCACAACGGCATAGACTCGAGGGATCCTCAATTCCTCAATCCTCTGCACAGGAGATATTCCATATACATGTTCTGGACTTGAGGGGAAGGATGTACTTTAAGCACTGTGCCATTATTGTGCTCTCTTCTGTCCCTGAAGCATTAACATAAAAGCTTTGCTGTCATAACACTGCTGAAGTGACACTTCTGAAATGGTAGCTCCTGCACTGAAACAAATTCAGTGCATGCTTAGAACAGGCTGGGAGATACTAGCTGGCCAAACAGAAGAGTAGATGGGTTCCAGTGCTTCTAACAAACATGATTTTCTGAAGAAAGCAATCAATCACAGTGCCAATACAAAAGAAAAAGTAATGATGGATCCTACACACGATGATAGATTTTCACCTCTTTCTTACAATCAAAATCTTTCAATACTTCAAAAGAAACTTCAGTCATTAGGGATGATTTACAGAAACTCTGCTAATTTGACCCTACAATGTTACCGGTGACCCTTAATGGCTGAGTGTGACAACTGATCTTTAACTGCTAAGTAAATGTTACTGACACACTGTATGAGCAATTTTACAAGCAGGTATAAATCTTTCATTCATATACTAGCACCCAATAATAACTAAACTAATGCATTATCAATAAAGCTCCCATATTATATTGGGAGCTATCTCCTTTGGCTGTAGTTGCTCTTGCTAGTCTTTAAGTTCAATACAATCTATACTGAGACTATGTGGTTACAGTGTTTTAGCATACAGCATTATGCATACTATTAGTGTGTGTATATGTATTATATAATCTTTCATATACTATAATGCTTTTATGACATGATAGTAAAATATAACTGAGTTACTGGAGTCAATGAGACCAGGTATGTCCAGTAACGCGTTTCATTTGTCCACTGGCATAAGTAACAAAACACACATGGGGTTTGAAGCATAAAGTGAATTTGGATGTGTTTGTGCAGTGTCTTCCACAGAGGGGCTCTCTGGAATTTGGCAACAGGACGATACACACACTAATAGCTGAGTACCTGAGATCTACATTAAAAAAAAACCCAGCTTTTAATTTACCTTAAATAAGAGTTGACCTGAATTTTTTGCACTGTAGTACAGCTTCACTGTTCCGATTTTGTATCCATTTCCTTTACCTTCTTGGTATCCATGCAGATCTGCTATATGCAGCAGTATAGAAAACAATGGGTTAATTCCAACACCCCCTGCTATCAGCACTAGTTTTACAGGGGAGTCACCAGGCTGAGGATCAAAGAAGAAATCACCTCCCACTCGCAGGGCAACTTCCGAGTCAAGAGCACACTAGGATGGAAAAGAAGACATTTACTTTCAAAACTCAAAGCAAAAGCTGAAATACACTTCTTCTTACACCACAGTCACAAGACTCTCTGGGCTGGGATTTGTACTGACCAGTGAGGGAAAGCTGAAATACCTCAGAGAGCTGGAAACCACGTTTGTTTTAATCTGCTTCAGCGTCTCTAGGGATCTAGTTCTCCTTTCAAAAGTTTCACTCTCTGGTAAGGCAGGATGGTGACTCCCCCTTCTCCCCCCCAAGAGCTGGGACAGGAGTGATTCATGCAAGAATTTTTCCATAGCCAGAAGTGGTTGTGAAAACCCAAGGTTAACATGTGAGATCACACTTTTACCCAAACCCAGTCTCATGTCAAAAGAGGCCTTGCTATGAGGTCAGAGAAGGAAGCCAGAATGAGTGGCACAGATGCAGGTTTTTCCATCCCCATTCCTGAAAAATAAAAACCACTCAAAGTGAAGCAAGTACCCATGAGAATATTCCTGCAGAACCCCTTTGGCATTTCCAACTTCAGAGCTGCAGGATAAGGAGAAAACCACCTCTGCTCCTCTCCACTTGTACGTAAGAAATTCTTTCTTGGAGAAATTTGCCAAAGTGTGTTATTTTGATACATGGAAAACTAAAGCTTCAAGAAAAAATCCCCAATTGGGTCAGTATATTCTTGGTAAGCCAGCGCCGCATCCCAGAATGAAGGGTGAAACTACAGTACAGAGAAGTCAGGCAAGTTCTCCCACCTCACTGCAAGCTGACAGAACAAGTTGGAGCTGAAAACAGAATTCATTTCAGGCCGTACAGTGGGTTTAAAAAATGAAGAGCAGAGGAAACCAAAGAAGATGGGAAAGGAGGAGAAGCAAAAAAGGAAAAAAGGAAAGCTACAAGAACTGCTGAAAACCTGCAATGAATCACTTACAGAGCAAAAAAACTGCCTCAAAAAAATGCCGATATCGGGAAGCGGTAATTGAACAAAAGCACTTCCATTAATGACAAGTGTGCAGTAAGCAAAGGTCGAAACACGTAACAATTCTACCAGAAAGAGGGAGGTGGCTTTTGGACACACGTACTGCACACAACACAGAGGTTCCTGAAGTGGTGAGCATGGCCAGTAAACACAAGTTTCCTGCCTTCCTTAATTATTGCATGCAGCATTTGCTCTCAGTGAGGGTGTAAGACAATCAGCATTCATTAGCTAAAACTAATTTGTCTTCCCCTTTCCAATGTACACTGCCAAGCTTTCCCCTGTTTTATTCTGGTTCAGAGATGCACGAGTCCAGAAGTGCTCCAAATTCCTGTGGCAGGAGTACATAGGACATAATACCCTTTATGGAAATAGACATTTTTAGGGAGAAACAATCTCATTATTATCTGATCTGCCTCCTTAACCAGCCAGACCTCATCAAGACTGGACACTGCACACAGGAAGAATCTCTCTTAACCAGGAGTCTCCTATATATTTCAGTGCTTCGGCCATGGCAATGGTAACAGTGAGTCAATATTCAAGAAAAAAAGCCAAACAATAAGACTCTGGAGTAATATGGTGAGAAAGTGTCCTTTTGCCCACTTTGTACATAGAGCACTGAAACAGTTTATGCAGAGAAGTGAAGCAATCAATACATTACATGTATGTTTTTCTAACAAAAAGGCTATGAATCCCTACAGCGATAAAATGCACTGTGCTAAAAATTAGGGGTTTATATATAGTAGTATTAAAAATTAAATACCCCTAAAAACCCAGGAACAGTGAGTAAATGAGTACTATTTCCATAACATCTTTTACCCTGAGGTACCTTCTTTTAGAACTAACTTTTAAACAATTAAGTACCAGACTTTTCTCATCACATACGCAACCTTCTAAATTCTGGGTTGCTATTTTCTTCTTCTTTCCTAAGGAAAAGCATTCACTTTTGTTTAGCTAGGAGAGTCCATATGTACCCTGGAGGTTTCTCCACAGGATTATCAGGTTTGACTTAGCTTACCAGCTAACTAAAGATTTTCCTATGAATCCATCCAGAAAACTCAGCAACAGCAAAGTGATTTACAGCATCAAAAATCCCAGAAGAGTCTTCAGAGATGATGAAGGTAGGCTTTCATATTCTCTTAAGGAGCGGTATCAAATACCAGACAAACCTCTTAGGCATTACAGGGTCTGCTGGCACGTGCACTCCAAGCCGTGCATAACACTGCACAAAGGTTATTCTGTTTATGTTCCAGTGGAGATAACTTGATATGACACCAGTTAAAATCCACCATGTGGATGGTCACATGCTCACTACTAGATTAGCACCACTCTGCATGTTCTCAAGTTTAGTAAATTTGCATCAATGTTTATTATAAGTGTTGGCCACCGAACAAAACTGCAGCATTTGTAAGCTTACAAGAATCTGACAATTCAAACTTTGCATTCACACTGAAGAAATATAAATGCCAGGCCGGGAACAGTAAATAGGACAGATCACATGTGGTTGTGAAAAGAACAAGAGCTGATAGGACAGATCACCTATGAAATATGATCAGCAACAGAAATAGGACTCTTCTGATTACAACTAAATGGGGTAAATGGACAAACGAGAGACTGCAAGAGGCCAAAGTGTCAGACTTTACTTTTAACGCAGCAAAGTCAAGCCTTGGGTTATGCCAGTATTACAAAAACATCGCATGTTTAAACAAATACTATAGAAATTCTGAAGTATTCTGCTGGCTTATCATTTCAGAAAAACTGATCTAAATATCTCCCTTTGCTCCCCCTTAATAATCTCTATTTGTATTCATCTGACAATGATTCCAGTTTGTATTTGTTGAAATAGGCAGGAACCATGGCAAGTTACCAGATGCAACTCTGCAATGTGTAACACAGCCTGCTCTCAGGGACACAAATTAGAACAGAGGGGTTTCATCCAATTTAACATCCAATTTCAGTCCCTTACTGAACAAAAGATTTGAAGATTTACATTGTATTAAAAATGGTTTAATAATTCAATGAGAGGTTTGCAGTTAATAGCAAAATGTGGCCTGAAATCACACACACCAGTCCCGCCATATTCCCCCTCCCCAAAAAAATAAAGAAAGATAAAAAAGCAGCCAGATCTGAGAGTCTTATTTACCTCAGTGTGAATCCAGTGGGCAGGAGGATGATCAGTGTGCTTTACTGCCAGCTCTAATATTCCTTCTCGTTTCAACAGGCCAGGGCTTGAACACATTGAGAATCCCCCAACTACAGACATTCCAGGAATAAAGAAATCAACCCTAAAAACAGACCAGAAACAAAAGTCTAAAAGACACATAAAAAGCCAACAACCCCAAACATGGAGAACAATAACCACAATCACATGGCTGCCCTTGCTTCAGTTATCCTTCCTGTACAAACACATCTTCATTTCCATAACACAGCTTTTCCAAAGAAGGACTTAATCTTGAGTAATGCCATTTCCTTAGAATTATTTTCACCTAGAAACACGTCACCACCTTTGTTAAACTAGCAGGTTTTTAAACCATTCTGCTTTTAGCATTAGATGCCACATCTTACAACAGACCGCTGGAATTCTAAGTGTTTAAATAAATTATTTGCGTATTAAACCAAAACCACAATACGGTCTGAGAGAGTGGCTTAAATCCCACTCCTTTTGGTCCCTTTGATGGGCTCTTCATTTTTCCAGCATAAGAAGATTGGGAAACTAATTTTAGGGAAGTGACCTTAGATTAAACACTTTCATTTTCAGGAAATATGAAATACCTGAAGAAATACCTCAGTCTGCACAGAATTCCCCACGTGAGAAGGCAGTGCCTAGCAGCAGCACTGCTTTACCTGCGGTGCCCTCTGGTGGCAGCCGTCTCTTGCGAGGAATTCGGAATAAATCACTGCAAGTTTTTTACAGTTGAAGTAAACCAGACACGGGTTTCTACAGATTAGAAGGCAAGACGTGGCTAAGCTTTTGCACACCAGCAGTTAGAGAGTAGGGAGGGCACGTCACTAACACATATGAGCTATAATTTATTTTCATAAAAGTAAGGCTTTCATATTGCAAATAGCATCAGGAAAAGTTAGAAGCTGGTTTATGATCTAACGTTTAAACTCCTCTGTGTTGCATACGTGTTTACATACTTTGGTTTTCTACAGTACTTGACAAACTCCCTGTATTTCAAAAGAAAACTAATGTTTAATTGTGCTGTTCCACTGAGGAACCAAGTAGACAGGTAAGCAACACCAAGTACTACAGAATCATTATGCAATCCAAGCCCGAGTTAGGCTGGTTCAGTATTAGTTAAATGAGAATACAACAAGAAATACAGACTGTAAGGCTGTATTCCTCATGGTGATCACTGCTTTTAAAGAAAGAATCTTGTCTGCTTAATCTCCACAAAGCTTCACCCTTCAAAGAAAGAGTTCCTCTCTTTCTCTTGAAGCATGTACAGTGATATACACGATATTACAGTGACACCACTTTTAACTTTATGCTTGATGGTGTATCAAGGTATCTGACCGCAAATGAAAGGTCAGTAACAAAGACAGTTGAGAAGGCTTCTGCAGCCCCACTGACCATGGGCTCAGCTTTCTAGGTAATAAAGATCTAAGAGATTAGAAAGGACTCTTGTATTGCAGCATTTATTGTATCAAAGAACACCTCCAGATGCTACTAAAGCTCTTTACTACCCTCTGGTGGAAAATAATCTTACTACTTATGTTAATGGAAAAAGGAAATTACATTTATGCTGTAAAGTAACAGCTTACATTTAAATCAAAATGTTCTGCTTGAATATAAGTGAAATATTATTTATGCCTGCTGAGGAAGCATACATACAAAACCAAACATTGCTGTAAAACCCAACTCAAATGTACTTTTTGCCTTTCTAAAATACTAATGTAGGTGTATGTTTCTTTTTATATTAGTATTTCTTTCCCAGTTACACAATTATATGACATTTCAGGGCATGGTATACCTATTATAATGGACTGGCTTCTATTTCTGATGGCCTGCCTCATCTTAGTTGTGCGTAGGAAAGGTAAGAGGACTCCCTAAAGAAATGCTATCTGTGACAGATGAAGTAAGAAGAGCAGTGGGAGGGGGGAGGGAGGAAACAAAAAAACCAAACTATATAAACCCACAACAAGTTAAGGTCTGAAGAGATGTAAAATAGTTTTGGCGGTGTTTTTTCATTTCCCTCCTTTTAAGGGAAAAGCCAAATCTTTGAGAAACAAACAATAATTCGCAATTGTTTGATCAGAAACATTAAAAGCATAACACTACTTCTTCAAAGTATTTATAACACACATATACCTCAGTGCATGTTTTAGTAAATCAAAATGGGCAACAGCAACAAGTCTCTTCATTATTACTTGAAACCAGATCAAGACCACTATATGTCAGCATGCTTACAAAACAAATTCACTCTTGCTTCTGAAAAACTTGGTAATTACAACACTTTCAAGAAACATACACATTTTGGTGACAATCTTTGTAACGTCTTACTATAGCAAATTCTAACAAGTTGGCCTTTTCTACTCAGGAAATTGTGGCCTCATGTTTTGCAGCGCTCATCAAAAAATGCAACCACAGTTTATAGCTACAAGTATAGAAAAGTTGCTGTATACCTTACAATAGAATACTTTCAAGGAAGAAGAAAAAGAAAAAGAGTAATTATAATTAAAGCTTTCCCTTTTCGACATGATAATTTCTACAGCATTTTTGGAGGGTAAATGCAATTTCCAAGTAGTGGCAAGCAAGAATTTAGTATGAGTCACTGCACATGTGCAAAAACTGCAGCAAATTACTCCACAAACAAATTATTGCAATCAACATCTTGTGTTCTGGTTCTAAATTTAAAAGCCAGCATATTAACACTACATGAGTAACATATGCTGTTAATACCCTAGCAGCTATACTTTGATTCCAGCAAAACCACTTTCAGATGGCCTAAGCCAATAAAAAGTTCAGGAACCTTTAAATGCCCAATGCCAGAAGCAACTACTCCTAGTTTTAAATTAATTTCTAAGAGGGACAAAAAAAAAAAAAATGATGGAGTGGGAGCATTTTAACAAGGAATGAAGACAAACATGAAAACCTACTATTTCCCAAGGAAAAAACCCATTAAAGTTGCTTAAACAAACAGCTCCTTATTTCAAAGGCTTAATAATTCCAGGGTTTTTTATTTTCAGGTTTGCTTATCTATATTTATCTATTAATCGGACCTAACAGGCTTAATTTTCAGGGTGGAAACTTCTAGGGCAAGAAATAAAAGTTAACAGGCAATTCTGATTTAATTATAAACCCAAACTAAGTAACTTGTGAATGAGCAGTCTCAGCTCCACCATATAACTAACTAGTAAATAAAGACAGTAAAGACAGCCTGCAGAATGAAGTGCAGTGTACTTCAAAGTACTCTTGAAGAAACAATGTAATATGCATAAGCCAGAGGAAAATACCAAACAATCAAACTGAACATTTAAAGAATTAGCAGGTTTTGCTCTTTTTAAAATTACTATTAGCATATTTAATAATGGCTGCTTTAAAATTATGCCAAGTATCAGCTGGTTGACAGAGCACCCAGTAAGAAGACATTGTATTATATCAATTAAGAATTTTTTCCAAGGCTCAAGTATCAGAGGCGTTTTAATATTCTGTTACATTGCACTTCTGCTAGTAATTTTCGTCTCAAATACTTGAAGATCTTACCACTGTCCTGCTTTGAAAGTAAAATCTTTATTTGTGATAGCCAGACGAAGCCTTTTGACTGTCTCTGATTCATTGCTGATTCCACACACTTTTGCTTGTGAAATTACCTAACAAAAGAAAGTAAGACCTTGTGTTACATAGAGATCATTTGCAGCAAAAGTACTCAAGAAATCTGTGTATGAGAGAACACGTGAAATGATGGGTGTCTGTGGCATGTCATTACCTAAAGCACCAATATTTTTTCACTGAGGTAGAGAAACAAAAATGGATTCACTTACACAGTCACCAAATGGAGAAATAGTTTTCTACTTAATGTCCACCGTGGCTGTCATTTTGTCAGGGTTATTCAAAGATTGTACACTAACTTATTGCAGTTAGAGAATGTAACAATAAAGAGAAGCAATTGCTAGTTATCACTTCTCAGACTCTTTTGACATCTGTACAAGCAATCACTCCTGTATCTTTCAGCAACAAAGTAAAAGGATCTCTGATATAAAGACTGACAAAGAAAACCTGTACAAGATCAGCTGCTACTGAAGAATTCCAGATCTGTATCTAGTTTTAAGTAGTTAAATGCATTACTGAAAGATTATGCATTAATACATAGAGAATTAAGGAAAAAACCCATCAGCAAAACACATCAATCAACAAACCAACAACTCTTGTGTTACTGCATTTACACACATACCCATTTGACCACATGTATGAAGACAAGAAAACTGTAACTCAAGCATTCATTGCTAGTTAACAGAAGAATTTTTGTTTGGCAACCAGACAGGGAAGGATGCAAGAGCCAGACCTGACACCACTTTTAAAGAGTTTAAATAAGAATTAAGAGAAATATAAAGCTTTTCTAAATGAAAAGCAGATTTTGCAATAGGACTGTTCACGGGGAGCATCCCACTTCAACTCTTTGATGCCTATCAGTACAACATGGATTTTTCACCCCCTCCCTGATCTTCCCTTTCAGGTATTTTTGAGTTATAGTTATTAATGTTCTTCCTCTACAAAGAAAGCAATACCCTAAGTATTTTCTACACAGGGCAATATACAGATTTTGCTTTGTTAATAAATGCTGGTGTCATTTACCACACCAGGAAACACTAATAATACCCCCGCAACTCCACCACTTCTCATTTGTGTAAGATCAAACAGATGAAAAAAAAACAAACCCCAAAACTTTAAGCAACTATGCTCTAATTTAAAACACATGGCAGGAAATTAATTTATTCATAAGGCAACATCTGAACACATCCACTGTCCCATTAAACAGCAGGACACGTGCCAATTTAAAATGAAGTAGCATACATTTCTTTTCCACTTTAGCAGACAGTATTAAATGGGGAATGCAATCACTCTAAGTTAACAAGAAATGCCAGACCCATGACTTCCGTGCTTATTCTGAGGGAGGAAACCATAAGTGCAGGAAATGGACATTAAATTTGGATCTTCTTCATTCCCTTTTTTACTCCTCAGCACACTCCCTAATTTGTTCTTTGGCTGGTAGATCTAAAAGAGCACTGGAAATTTAATTCATCAGTATAAAATTATTACAGAAATGAAATTTGAGCGAGGGTGATCAAAGTAGTACTTTGTACAAAGTACAAACCAGTACAAACCAATCACAAGAGTATCCAACTGGCCCAAACCAAGGCTGCAGAGAGAAGGAGGAGGACACAGGACTCCAGACTTTGTATTTCAAGAAAGCGTTTGGCAGTTTTTCCTTTTCCTGGTCCTTCACATTACCGCTCCTCAACAGGAACGATGTGTAGCATGTACACTAACACAACACAAATCTATGGTTCTTTCATCTTTCTACAGGACCGAAATGGCCAAACAAGGCCATACAGACTGAAGGAAGCCAACTGCTGATTACATGGAATTCAAAACCAAGCAGAGGATTAAAAAAAAAAAAAAAAGAGGATTTTAAAGTGGTCACAAATGAAGTAACAAAAAATAAATCAAGCATTAAAAAAAAAAGGGAAACACCACAATCCTCCGATATGTGGAAAATTTGTGGTAGCAAGAACTGAGCCCTGCTCTTTTATCTGTCCCATACAGCTTCCTTCTCTTCCTACAGCCTTACAGTTCCCATTCCCTGTTCAACCTTAGGGCTTTCAACACCTCATAAGGACCCATTTTCCACACATTTTCCAGGTACCTACTTTTTCTGCTCAGCATAAATTCTAAGCAACCCAAGCAATGAGAAATACCCAAAATAAAATAAACATGGTTACAAAACTCAAAAGTGCAATCACTTTTTCCATGCCAGAAGCAAAGAAGAATGTGCGTCTACCTCTGCCTGACTCTACACTGATTTTCTCCATGTACTGAGTTAATCTGGCATAAATTGGATTCTCCTGAGCAGCTGTATGTCCACATGCAATGCTAATTTGTACTCAAGAGCTGACATTAGCTGTGAGTAGCTCAGGCACAGCTCTGAGACACATAGTTCCTAAAGCTGGCTTACACCTTGACAGCTCTGGTAATAGGCAGCACAAGGCTGCATTTGTCTTATCCATCTGCAGCCTGTAACAAGTTCTGAATGTTCAGGTTTGGGAGGTTACCTACATACCCCCTCCACCCAGCTTCCTTTTGAGAAGGGAATTCACTGTGACGTATTCTCAACTATAGTTAGGGAAGAATCTAGCAGAGAGAAGGACTAAATTATGCACGCTAATGCACATTAACATCTGTGTAGTGTGAGAATAGATTGCCCTGCCGCATGACACATGCAAGACTGGCCTGTCCTGTCTCTGCCTATTCAAGACAGAGAAGCTAACTAAATAATGGAGAAAAATGTGGCACTGTTTCCCAGCTCCTGGGAATTAAAGATGGGATTTTTTCAGTAGAAAAAGTGCCCTACTAATCCTGAAAAGTCTAAGAAAAATGCAGAATTGTTTTGCTATTGAAACATTTTTGAGAATTGAAGTCATATTCTCCTAGTATTAAAAGATTTCTAAACATATACTTTAGCTAATTACAGGAAGGAAATACCTGCAAGAAATACAAGACTATGTTCACCTCTGAATGTTATGAAAATGACTGCTTACTGCACAAAACCAAGATCCAGAATAAGCACTTGTGGATTTTGGTGGAGAATAATCTATGTTCCTTGTGCGTGAATTAGATTAGATACAAACTAAAGATCCTTTTTATAAGTGTCTATAATCTCTCCCTTCAAAATGTCAACACTTTTTAATCTTACCTCCTATGTTATAAAAGGATATATTCCACAGTCTTTAGTTTCAACTTTGAACCAGAATTATAGAGATCCATAAAAAACTGAGAAGTATGTGTAGAGATCATGGGTATCTGTGTGCTTTTGTAACTGACCAGAATCCAAAAACTTGGCCAGAATTCTATCAAATTTCCTGTCCAACATAAATTAAACATCACCCACAGCTTTTATAACTCATTACATTCCACCCATTGCCTACAAAATACACTTCTTTTTATAACAGTATCAAATACAAAAAATGAGGAGAAAAAGAAGTAAAACAGACTCTAGCAGAAGACAATATGAAACCAAACGTAATTACCCAGTTTCTTCACACACAAAAAAAATTACTTACATCGTAAAGAACAGAACACTAACCTCCTGGCGAAAATTGTTTGCTGTCCTCTCTAGATGATCCATTTTCCTTTTTGATTTTATTGTGCTGCAACAAAAAGCCAACAAAGATAATTGTCATTCTGACAGCTGTGCTACTGTCCCTTACTGATACGAATTTCTATTAACATAACAATTTACCAGTGTAATCTGGACTACAGATGACATAAATCTAAGTAAGAATTAAGTAAAAGTATATAATTGGGAGTTAAATAAGTATTTCTAGGTCTGTAATAATTTGTCAGCTTCATTTTGACAGTGTTACCATGACATTCTCTTTGAGTAAAAAAAGTTTTTGTCTGTAGATAACCCACCTGTTCACTGTGTAGTAACAAAAAGCAGAGTGCCTCAACACCACCAGTGCAGAATGAGTGGGAAGAATTCTGCTGACACCTCTCAGTAATTGAGGAACACCCACATGAATAGTAGCACAAGCCATGATGACTGGGCCAGAACCACCAGCTCCTGAAAAATACACATAACTATTTGTTAACTGAAATACTTACTGTTTGACATGGCTTGTTTTCACCCTTTACTTTCTTTAAATCAGAAAGGCCAAAGCTCACCTGGAGCTGAAACTAGCAATGGACATAGAGGGTAACAAGAAGGAATCTGAAAAGTACAAAAGTATCATAAAGAATTGAAGTGAAAATGTGCATCCATCAATTGAAGGGGAAGAAAATGTCACAGATTGTGTAGAAAAGAATGAAATACTCAACACCTTTTCTGCCTCAGTCTTCACAGACAAAGCCTGCACCCAGACCAGCAGTGTTTGGGAAGGAGAGGAATAAGTAGGAGTGGGGCCAGCAACTGCCTAGAGAAGCTGGATTTATTCAAATGCAGAGCCAGATGGGTTACACTCAAAGGTTGCCAAGAGATACAGCTGACATGCTAGTGAGGCAACTGTCACCTATGAAAAACAGTTATCAGAGAAAGTCTGCAGTGGACTGGAAAAGGACCAATGTGTGGTCATTTTTAAGAGAAGCAACAAGCATTGCCTACGTCCAGTCAACACCACCTCAGCCACTGGTGTGGGACATGCTCAAAGCTTGTCCCTTTAGCTGTGTGAAAGCGTAGAAAGTAATCAAAGAGATGTAACACAGATTTAGCAACACCAAATTATATTTGGTAGATCTGAGCACCTACTGTGATGAAATGTGGTCACACAGCTAAGGGACAGCAATGGATACAGTACACCCTGACTGACCTAGAGGGCTTTTGACACCATCTCCCACGGCATACACATTAGGTAACTGAGGCCAGACAGACAGCTGGAATGGTTGAAAACTGCCTAGTCAGTCAAGAATTTAAGACCTGATGGCTTCAAGTTGCTCCAGTTGCTGGCTAGTAACAGTACCTCAGGACTGATAGAGTTCAATAAATTTAGCAATAACTTGGAGGATGAGACAGGATGTACCATCAGCAAACTTGTGGATGATACTAAATTAGAGGGACAATTGACATGCTGAATGGTAGAGCTTCACTTCAAAGAGGCACTGAGAAGCTGCAGGGCTGGAAAACAGAAACCTCATGAAGTTAAAGTAGTACAAAAGTCTACACATGGAGTTGGCTTAATACAGTGCTATCAACTGTACTGCTCCAAGCAAGTGCTTTGACTAGATGAGACACTGGGGCAGAGAAGTTGTGGCTGCCCCATCCCTGGCAGTGTTCAAAGCCAGGCTGGATGGGGCTTGGAGCAACCTGGTCTAGTGGAAGGTGTCCCTGTGTGTGGCAGGGGGTTGGAAGTGGATGACCTTTAAGGTCCCTTCCAACTCAGACCATTCTGCGATTCTATGATTCTATGACACTCAAAAGTCCCTTCCAGCCAACATATCGGTGATTTTAAATGCTCAAACAATATTTATGTTTGAAAGAAGATCAAACACTGGATATACATTCCCTTTCTATTGGTAAAGAAACGGTTCTGGTTGGAAATTTTTATAAACATTAAATAAAACTTTTTGTTTACAGGTTTATTTAGAAACACGTAAATCCCTCATTCTTCCAAATATCCGACATAATACTTAGACCTCTAACCAGTTAAGCAAGTGGCAGAGACTTACATGCACTGCAATGGACACATGGTGTGAAGCTTCAAAACTGCATACTCAAATACAGCTCTGACAGTGCAAATGACACATACAATACCCAAACTAAGTCAGAAACACCCCTCATTTACCAAGCGTAGGAATAGGTTCATAGTGAGCCAAGAGATATTTCTCATTGCTTGTAAATCTGTCTTTGTTTTTCCTGAAGTGGATTAGCATGATTCTCTATCGTATTATCACCACCTATCAAATTCTATTACGTCTATGATGCAGTCCCCTTGCTTCTTTAAAGCACTCTTAATCTTCCACTTCCAGTTACATGTCTTTTCCCACATTGTTTTAAAGCATGTAATTTATTTTCAAACTGTTTTTGTTTTTCATCTTGAATCCTCTGAAATGGCAACGATCCAGCTTGTTTAACTAATCAGGCCTATACTCTCTGGGCTTTCACTAACAGCTGCGTTGGCTGGTCACTCAGTAATTTGTCTGTTTGTAATCATGTATAAATGGGAGGCAGAGCTTTCATAAATCAGGCTGCTCAGAAATGGAATACATTTACTGTAAGTGCTCAAAATGCCCACTTTCAAGCATAAGTACTTCCTGCAGCTTTTAACTGCCCATAATTTTTAATAGCTTTTTAGCATTTAATTCCACAGCAGCTTGCAACTTTTCAAAGCAGAAATATTTAAAATTATTCTACCACCAGTGAGCAAAATTACTTGTTTTATTTTTCCCCACAGCACACACAGGGTACTCTATTTAAACAAAATACTTCAGCATTTTCTACACACAAATGTGCAGAAGCTATTGATACAGAAGCATTAACAAACTTAAAATATTTTAGCAGGGAAAAGTACACATCCACTAAAGAAACCACATTCCTCTATCTCAGCATGTTTAGTCTGTAAATCCAGAGTGCTCAAACATCACTGAGTTACTTAAATTCATGAGATCATTTTATGACCAGGTAGCACATCTTGGTTATATCCATCTATGTAATCTTTTTTTAGGCTTCTCACTTTTGAGTGGTGATTTCAAGCTTTTCACTCTACCACATTAACTAATTCAAAGTAAAAACGAACCAGATTTGAAAGTGGTCATTCTTATGAAAGTTGTTTACACCAAGAGCCACGACTTTAATTAAATCACCACAACATCAAAATGAACCACATAATGCCTGATGCTTTGCTTTGGGGGCAAAAGAATGAGATTACTTATTTATTTCTTTTAAAATCCTTCCAAACCCTTTCTGCAGTCAATTGCTACTAAATGCAGCGACATCTGCTGGTAAATTAACTGGCCTAACTTTAAAATGCAGCACAAAGGTTGATTGTGTATTTTACACATTTCGTTTCATGCTGCTGCCAAGGTTGACAGTCACTTAAGGCCGGCCTCATTTTCATTTCGCCTGCTACCACTTGAGGAAGCAAGTGTGTTCAGTTCTACACATAAAAATGCAAAAAAACCCCAAAGAAAAGTTCAATATCAATACGTAACACCAAAAACAAAATATGTCAGTCTTATTTTACTGTAGCAGCTATAACTCTGAAGTCAAAGCTGAAAGATCCTATTGATACAGACTATTTTAAGAGTGAGACTCTACTGTAAATTAAAATAACTCTAGAACAGTAGTTCAAGATACTTGTTCCTTTTACATTATCATCAATTACGCTCCAATCCTGAAAGTCACAATAAAAATAAGTTGTAATTTTTCCTCTGCAAGTAACACAATCCAAAATCTCTTTTAATAAATCCTGGTTCTCCTTTACTATACACAAATACGAGTCATGCCTTTACGAAACATAAATTGCCTCACCCCCATATCACCTCTGCAACCTTCTTCACTCATCCAGCCCTTCACCACTTGCCTGCCCTTCAAGTGCTTCAGCCTCCCAAGCTCCTGTCCAGAGTGATGTTCTCCCTTTAATTTTTTCTCTTCTTACTCAAGTCCTTCTAAATACTTAGTCCACTCTAAATACTGCCTTCCTTTCCTGCACAGACAGAAATGGGTGCTGTGTTTGTATATGACTTTTCGCCTCACTTAAAATCAAGCAATTCACTCATTCGCCTTTGAAAACTTTGTTGGCAAGTTTGTTCCTGGAGTTTTCTCCGAATCACCTTATCCTCTGACTCACTGGCCCTGGGTTAGTATCGCTTGACATCTAGAACTGCATCTCTTCTTTTGGTCAGTCTTACATCAGTATTATCTGAAGGGAGAAAGCTACTTTTAGTTAGCCTGTGTCACACCAAAGAGAAAATTACTACATAAACTACAGCCAAGTGAGTGCTGAGGGGGAAGGAAGCAAGCATGCTTAAGCAAGCAGGACAGGAAATCTTTCACCAGGAGCACGCACATAGACCGGTAAGAGACACCCCTCGGACAAACTGTCCCTCCTGCAGGTCACCACCGAGAGCAGCTCTTCCCCTTGACAAGGTCGCGGCTGCCCTGACAAGGACTGCTGCCGGTCCGCCTCAGCCACCACAGAACCCGCTCCGCGCCTCCCGGACGAGGAGCCGGCAAGGCCGTGCAGGGGAGGGCACCGGTCGGGAAGTGGCTGCACCGTTTCCAGAGGCCGCACAGGGTCCGGCCGTGGGGCCCAAATAGATCAAGAAGGGTCCCACAGCCAACCCCCGCCTCACCCGACCCCAACGGACCCCCACGCTCCACCGCAAGGCCCCTACCCGCCGCCGCATCACGTGACGCAGATCTCTCCCCCCCCGCCCCGCCGCCGCGTCGTCACGCGCGCAGCCGCGCCGCTTCCGGCGCGTCTCACCCCCGCCGCGGCCATGTCGGTGTTCCACGATGAGGTGGAGATTGAGGACTTCGAGTACGATGAGGAGACCGAGACCTACAGCTACCCGTGCCCCTGCGGGGACCGCTTCCTCATCACACGGGTAATGGCGGCCGCGTAGGGATGAAAGAGGCGGCGGGATGGAGTAGTGCTAGTCCGCGTTCCCGCCGGCCGCGGGGCCTGTGGGTCTGTGTGCAGGCGCGGGTCGGTGACTGCTGTCTCGGGGTTTTTGCAGGAGGACCTGGAGAACGGCGAGGACGTGGCCACCTGCCCCAGCTGCTCCCTGATCCTCCGCGTCATTTACGACCAGGTGGGTGCGGGACAGGGGTTGCCGGGCGCGGTGCGGCCTGCTTCCTTGGCGCCGGGCCTGCCAAGCCGGGTTCCGGTTCTCTATCCCCTGAAGAAAGAGCGACAGGAAGTTTTACAAGTGCCTGGTACATACCGGGTAGGGGTCTGTGAGCTAGTGGGCCTTTTGTTTGTGACTATGGTTACTTCTTTATCTCATTTTCTGGTTTCTTCCTTTTGCCGTGTTTGGGCTTTAAAACATGCTTGCTTGGGTGAGCATGGGATGGAAAACAGGCAGAACAATCTCTGCGACTCTAAGAGCTATCTATGACCCTAGCATAGATGTATTTATGACCCTGTCACATAGCCTTGTACTTGTGAACCTGTCAGGTTGCTTTTCATAGCTAATGGGCATGCTGTGGCTTTCATGTTTTGGGAGATGGATTTATAGCAGTTATACTCAGGCTAGAAAGCAAAATCAGTGTCTGGTATTTTCTGGGGGGAGAGGAGCTCCAGAAATAATGAAAATCATCTAAAACTTTACTTACTGTCTTTAGGAGCAGTTCATGCGTGATGAAGTCATTGCAGAACCTCTGCCAAACAAGGAATTGATAAAGTGCTGATGAACACATCACGAACTGTTAACCTCTTTAGCATAAGAAAGTATCGGGATAGCAACTGCAGAAAGAGACATGGTTTTCCTCCTGGAAGTGCTCGCTGCTGTGAGATACAAGTGCAATAACTGTCTGTCTTCACAATTTGAATAAGAATGTGTTGGGACATCAAGCACGTGAATGGCTTCTGTTCAAAGGAGTTGTACCTTTTAAAAATACATGAGTTGCCATATGTATTCCAGAACACTTGAGGATTATGATTGAATTATGACAGCAAGTCAATACATAGAAATGTATGGGGTTGTGAAATTATGACATTTGTCTAGCAGTGGCTTCTTAGCCTGTGGAGAAAAGAAGGCTTTGTGTGGGGCTGTAGCAGTATGAAATGGCACAGAGAGCTGAAATACTGGGAAACAAAATTTAAAAGTCCAGAGGATGTGATGCCGTACAGAATTACCACTTTGACATAGTGTGGCATCACCCAGGATGTGGGCTGATACTTGAACTCAGAGTGGACAGAAATTTACCCATGTTTTCTCAACAACTTTGTAATTTGACTTGCAGCAAACATAAACTGGGCTGCAGTTCTTTGTGCCATTTGTAGTAGTGCATTTACTGAATTCCTCATCCTTTGTGAAGTTCATCTGAGTAGGAGATGCACACATTTCACTTAAGTGATAAAAAGGAATTTTTTAGGGTAAAAAGGAGTTGGAAGTATATACACAAAAGTACATTAACACCAAGCCACTGCACTTAAGTATTTATTTAAAATTGTGGTCATTCATGTGTTGTAGTAGGATTTGACATCTATGAAGTTGAATTTGGGGAAAAATACTTGTGCAGCATTTATAGTTATTTTTGCTCCAGGCAGTAAGGTTAAGAAAATCTTACTAATTTCTTGGGTTTAACTATTTTGTTCTTCCAACGTTCTGTGAATGTTGAAGATGAACAGTCAAATTTTTATTTGGGGGGCTGGGGGGAAGGGGAGAAAATAAAGGAAAAAAGAAAACTTACCCCCTTCAGGTAGGAGTGCACAACCCGAAGTGTTTTCATGCTTAAACCAGGAGGTGGCACTCGCGTTACTTTGATATCTGTGCTTCAAAAAATCCCAAACAACTGTGGTACTTTGGTTAGCTATCTTTTATCAAATATTTATTTTATCTATTTAAATAAAGATATTTAAGACTACACCAGTCCTTATAATGGGCCATTGCTTATTCTGTTTGTGCACCAGCCACAGTGATTTCCAGAGGTGTTGAGGTGCTGCTGTGGTAATGATTCACAGATTCTATGAGTCTGTGATACTGGAATTTCTTCAGGTTAGTTAATAAAGTGTTTCAGTCTATTAAGAGATGCTATAAAGAAAACTTACAGGAACCCTATTTAATCTCTATTCAAATTTCTATTGCATGAATATATTAAGGATTTTTGCACAAGTACTCTACATAAAACCGAGTAAGTTTCAAATAGGACATCAGGGAATGTCTGACGTAACTACATCAAAATAAATTGCAAGGTGTATTATTTCCAAAGGTGCATTGATTTTACAGAAGTACTTTGACTGAATTTAATGTTTATAATGAAGATTAAGGCACTGTCATAAAGACTCTTATGAAATTTGCATAGAGATTTATTTATACTCTGTAAGGTTGGATTCCAACCTGCTTTTAAAAAGTGTTTATCAATTGAATTTTATTTGGCATGTGCTAATGAAAGTTTTGAAGTGATTCTCTGTAGTGTTCCCCACTCATCTAAAATACAGGTAATAACTTTTTAAAGATTAATTTTGGCAAAATGAATTACTTCAGATCATCAGCTGGGACTGTCAGTGCTGAAGGTTTCATGGTAAACATACTCTTACCAAGTAGGAGTAGTATCCAAGTTGTATAATGCAATTTATATGTACATTAAAATTATTTAGTTACATAGTATATACTAATGCTTTCATAAGTATGCATTGTATTTGCTTTTCTGGAGCATTTTTACGGTGTAACAACAGTAAAGTATTGTGGCTGATGCTGTTAGGAAAGCATATAGCCACATTTGCTCACATAAATTGCTCCCAGCTCAGTCTCATTGCAGCATCTTGAGAATCTGAAGAAGTAGTTGCTGTCCCCCTCAAGAAAGGAGGCAAAACAAGGATGGGTGTCATGTATCTCTCTTGTTGGTCTTTGGGAATCCAAGTGAGATGTTAAAAAATTGTTCGGCTGTTTTGTTGCTTTGTGGAATTCAGTAGCAACAGAGTTCATGAGAGCTCAGTGGTGCTAAAGCCAAAGAGCTGCTTGCTTTTGTCTTTTGTTAACTTGTGAGAAGCTTTTGACTCCACTGATTGCAGCCAGCTTTAAAAAAATATCCATACTGTATAATTCCAGAACAGCAGTCAGGGCAATCCGATGAACTCATTGAAATGTTCCTCTTCTGGAATTCAGTCACAAGGTTTCTTCACAGCACCACAGGGAGCATTCAGGCCCCTTGTGCGTTACTGATGTATTGCATGTTCTTACAGACCAATGGTTCACTTGTTTTCTAAAAAGGCAATTGTGTAGGACACAAAGAAGTCTTTTGCTTGCTGACAAGGAGGTTGATTGATTATGTATTTGATTAGGTCCTTGACTCTGCATGGAGGAGTGCTGTGTGATGAAAACAGTGTTACATGAACGATAATGGAGTAAGTTGCATTACTAGAGATTAGAGAGGGTAGAACAACTTATTATCCATTTCAGATACTTAAGCTCTAAAATTGCCAATGCTGTTAAATAACATGGAACTCCTGGATAATTTTGAAAACAAGTAATATACTGTGGCAGCGATTTCATGGGAAGAAATTAAGTTTGCTCTTCATTAAACTAAAGAGGCTCTGCTTGTCTAAGCAGTCAGATCCTTTGCATTTCAAAGACACTTGCTGGGAAGGTCATGTACGTTTGGCTCATTGTGCCTATATGTCAGTGGCATACATGATTAATCTTGAATAGCTGTTCTATAAGTCATGACAGAGACTCTGGACCCGCAAGAGCTGAGGTCATAAGGCCACCAACTTCAAATGTGGCACTTGTTCCATTTGTCTGTACACTGGGGAAATCGTGATGTTCTGAAGGACCCTGATATAAATACCTCAACAGTTCTTCCCTCCATCGTGATGGTTAATTTTGATCCTCAGCATCAAAAAAAAAAAAGTCCTTTGTAGAACATGTAATAAATCTGTAATCCATGTAATACAGATCATTGCATAGATTATGAGTCTGTTTACCAAGAAGCAGGTACTGATTAATTTCAGAATTTCAGTGAAGAAAGTGAACTGACAACTATGTATTGTCACTAAGCAAAACAGTTTTCATATACCCCATTTCTCTATTACAGTTTAATGTTCAGAACAGGCTAACTGTAGGGACAGATATTTATTACACTGAAACTTCTTAAAATGTTTTTACAGAGAGGGTTTAAGATATTTAGCATAGAAGCAAATTATTTTCTCCTACTGTAGTTCCTTGTGAATTGCTTTCTCTTTATAGTTAGTTAGGACATAGCTTTGATTCTTCTTCATGGTAACTTAAAATGCTGATTTCTTAATGTCCCTCCATAGTAGCTGTGGCATGGAGGAGATGGAGGTTTCCTGTGTAACGTTGAATGCGCTGGACTCATCAGCTCTGAAGCTTGTCAAACTTCACGAGTGACAGAGGCAACGACTGACAGCCGCTGTGCCGAGCTGGAAAACAGCTGTCAATGTCACCTGCAGGTGGGGAGGAAGTGGGTCAAAAGGCACTAGCTGAAAGGGTAGAAGCTTAAGTGACCTGTCATCACTATTTCCTACCCCTTGCCTTCACCATTTCACTGTGTTTGCATACCAGATTGCCTCTCCAGAGTTTTTGGCAGCTCACCAGTCCACGCAGGCTTCCTGTCACGTGGGATATCACTGCCTTGCCTCTTACCCTGTGGCTGTGCGCAGTGACCCAAGAGAACCTTGTTCTGAAGGCTCAGGGTGCTCCAAGGTCAGCAGCAGAGCTGCCCCAGCCAGCAGAGCAGGCAGTCACCATAGCTACTGTAAAAACTGTCTTTCTAAAACAACCCAACTGAAAGCAGGTTGGTATTTTCCACATTAGGTTATGTGCTGCAACATGCAAATCTGGCACTTTAACCAGGTAAAGCAGAAAGTGGGGCTCTCAGAGTTCTTTAGTGCTCTATCTCTGAGTTTGACTTTTTTTTCTTGAGACAAAAGCGTTATTACAGTGTCCACCAACATGCTCTGAGGCAGAAATAGCCCTCCAGGCCCTTTCTCTTCACTTTCAATGTCTGCCTCCATTTTTGGTTTTCTCTGGGGAGGAGAAGAGCTGTGCTGGTATATGGTGGTCTAAGGGAATAATTTGAAATATGTGTGATATTGCTGTGGGTAATGCTGAAGGAAACTCTTGAGACACCCAGGTAACAGGTCATGCTGTGGAACATTTCCAAAGGAAGCATCTAGACTTAACTCATGAGTATTACAATCTTATGCCCACCCTGTTTCTCCTACTGGAAAAGTGATTTAATTTGTATTCACAGAGTATTAATAACTTAATGAGTATTTGCCCCATATATATGTAGTTACGTAAGCATCTTCTGTGTTTGCTCTCTTCCGTATTTTCAGTTGCGATTAATGCAGGTTTTTTTCCCAGAGTCACTTCTCCAACAGATTTTCAGTCAGCTCGTTGATGTTGTTGAAACCAAGCTTTCAAAATGGATGAGTTGGGCCCCCGAAGATACCAAGTCTGTCTTAAAATAGTAGTATTAAAAAAGTGTTTTAAATTCATTATTTCATACTGAAGCTCTTAGGGATTGTGTTTTCATTTTGCTACCAAGATTTTCTTTTCTGTTACGTGGTGGTCATTTTTTACTTTCAAGTCAAAGCCAAGATCCTTATTGTGTTGTCTGAATGCTGAAGCTGTTGCTCTAGGAAAAGATCCAACTATCCTAAGACTCAGGGTAAAACCAACAGGAGCTGGCAATACACTTAGCCGTAAGTCACTCCTTCAGTGCCCTGTTTGTGCTGTTTCTGCTCCATAGTAAATGTTTTTGCTTTGGTCTTAGTTGTAGTCGGAAAACAACCTTTTTTGACAAGTTTGTTATTTCAAGTAAAAGTTATTCCAGTTCACCTGAACACTAAATAGCTGAAATGGTTTTGGGCATGAGTTTTGTGTGTAGTCCTATGGTATTCACAAAATACACGAGTTCTGGTATAATCTTAGGAAGAATAAGGATTTTGCATCCCCTAGGAAAAATCAGATTTTTCAAGGGAGTTTTTTTGGGGTTTTATTTAGTATTTAATACAGTGAGATAGGTGCTGCTCAACAGTTCACATTTCTGCCTGTGTCTGATCATAGGCCCATTGTTGCTTCTTTCTCTGGAAATCAAGTACCTATGCAAAGCCAATGTAAATACTGTCTGGTATTAATTCTATCTTTCAGACAATAGCAAGACTGATGACTTCTAACAGAGCTTGTGTACTGCAGCATGAATGTATCATTTTATATCACACCATGACAGAGGACCAGTTTTGTAGCTTGTAACAGATTTTAAGATTATAGAAATATAGAAAGTAGTAGGTAAAATGTGACCCCT